GGGTCCCGTTCTGAACCTGCGATAACAGACCCGGCTCTTCCCAGCGTCGGCAGAGCCGGACCGGTCGTCGGGGCACTTGAAGGAAGACCGAGGGGAAGAAAGGGTAAATCCACGTTCGGGAAGTAAACTGGTAACTCCAAAGCTCGCGGTTGACAAATTATAGCTCTGTTATAAACAAGACTTTATTAAACAAGACTTTTCCCAAGATAACCTCGTCCATGATCGTTAGTTAATGTGGTTGCACAGGTGGTAATCAAAGGCTGAACTTTGGGGCTGAAGGACACCCTTCTGCTCACATGGCCGCATTCTTAAATTTATCAAGGCTTTGGTCTTTAAATACTGAACGGGAGTAACATCTGGTAGCTCTTTTGTTTATGAGTTAGCATAGCTGGTATGCCAGAAACAACGCTTTCTTGTCTTATTAATAAGATCGTATAAAAACTGAACCACACGGGAAGAACACAAGAAATGTTCTGGGTGTGGGAGTGAGTATCTTCAGCTAACTCTGTCATCAAGTGGGAAAACTGTGTGTAATGGAGCCAATCAATTCCTGTTTTTTTAAAAAGGTATAACGGGTCACTTAAGGATATGTCCTTTTGGTTTCTCTTTTCTTTTGTAGGGCATGGAGGGTCAGGAACTGCCTTACGTGCTCATTGACTGTGTAGGAGGGAAGCATGGAGTATATGAAGACCATGTTGAATTTCTGGAGAAACATTTTCATCTCATCACCATGAAAGAATATCTTGAAAACAAGAAATCTCTCGGCAGAAAGATCAGAGCTATTTATATATGGTATCACAAACCAGTTATTAATGAAGAGCTGCTCCAGAGCTTGCCTAACTTGAAGATAGTTGCAAATGCTGGAGTGGGGATAGATAACCTGGACCTGAACCTCCTCTCCAGCTATGGTGTCAAAGTGTCCAACACTCCATTTGTTGTTTCCACCGACACTGCAGACTTTGGGATGGCTTTGATGCTGGCATCTTCCAGGAGACTCATGGAAGGTAATGGCTGAAATGGTTTTAGTCTTCTTATAGGAAAGGTGGCTCTTCAAAACACGCAGTTAGAAAGTGTGTGCTGGTGCAAAGGTAAGCTTAAAAGCAGAAATACAGGAAAATACAGAGATGAGGAAAGAGCTAAGACAAATCTGTCATGTTGACAATAACTTGCAGGCAGATTTCCAAACAGGCGCGGCAGCAAGGGAGATGCATACCTTCTTCAGACAGCCCTATATTCAGGCCTCTTCTCCCTCAGCCCATAGCCACTTATTCGTTCTACTTGTTCGCTGCAGTCTTGCTTTTCAAGTTTTAAGAAAAGGGGATTAAAAGGAGATGTTTTCAAGGAGGCTTGAAACCTTTTATTCCAAGCTGACATGTATCTGAGTCATTACGAACAAGCTGTCCAGAAATCTGTCCACCATGCTCTCTGTTTCTTTTCCCTGCCAACTTTGGTGTATCTGCAAGATAGTTGGGAATCCTATTTTGGCCTGACTGAAAGTCTTGATGAGCGACAACTGACTCATCAGTTGCACCATTCAGCATTTACAATATAGGTGGCATCCGTGGCGCTGCCAGTTTCATAAGCCCTGCTGGTGAACCACCATGAGTAAGAAGCTGCATTGCTGAGGTGCATTTCAATGGCGCAATAATCTGCACCACAGGCAGGTGTGCGAGACGATGGGTAGGTATGTGATGCACGTCGAGGGGAGGCTGCTGCTTTGGCCTTACCTTCCTTGTCTGCCAAAGAGGGGCTGGATATGTTTCCACCCCCAGCAAGAAATCAGTGTCAGATGTCATGTTGACAGCACAGAGTTATTCACATCTTGTCCAGAAACACAGTAAGATTATGTTACTGCTCCTCTCCTCCTGCCTTCTCTTATGATAAAAAGCAAGTGGGAAAAATGTAACCAGGTGCCAGGACATCCTTTGCATGATGTTTTTCCTTCCTTTCCCCTCTCCAAGGCTATCAGATGGCAGTCTCCCCTGACACGGAGTATTTCCCCGCTAACTGGCTGGGCGCTGAGGTTTCTGGGGCGACCCTGGGGATCGTGGGAATGGGCACAATTGGCTACAAAGTGGCCGAGAGAGCCAAAGCCTTTGAAATGAAGATTTTGTACCACAACAGGAATCAGAGGTAAAGCTGGTTGCAGCTCCATGGAAAGTCTATTTTGTCACTGCTTTTAAACATTATTTGTACCTTTCACTGTCAGACTGTTCTCCTGTTTTCCCTGTGTTAGGATAGGATAATGTGCTTGCTGGGCTGTTGTTATTAAATATTGTGCCAGGAAGCAGTGAGGGCCACAGATCATGGCCAGGTTCACCCAAAAGTCCAAATCATCAGGTGAGCCCAGACTGGGGCTGAGGGGAGCTGGAGACCAGCCCTGCTGCGGCATTGCTGGGGCAGGGACTGACGGCCCCGGGGGGAGCTGCCGTGGGGCCCTGGGGTGTGGGGAAGCCCCAAGGGCGCAGGCAGGGACAGCCAAGGCTGGTAGTGCCTCAGGACCATAACAATAAGTTGCTGCCTTATTATTGGCTCTTTGTTTTAAGTGGCAAAGTACACACACTTGATTCAAAACAGTCATTAATTTCCCAATTTATACAGAAACAAAGTCAGGAAGGAATGGGAGAGAGACATCTCACTGGTCTCCCCGTGAGTTGGGGCTCCCTGGGCCTTCCCATCATGTCGGTGACATTGCAAAAGGCTGGGGAAAGGAGAAATAGTCAGGGCAGACATAACTCCCATGACTTAGGTGAGGCAGGGACACAGGCAGAGACATCTCCTCCTTTCTGAGCCAGCTGATAATGAAGAGCCGGACTTGCCAGCCTGTTTGCTATCTTCTAGATGAGGTGTATGTGCCCTTCACAAGATGCCATGGGTCCCATCAGGCTCACCCCACCCTTCTCTTTTGTGAGAATCTGATGGGAGCTGGGCAGTACATGCCCCAACCTTGTCCTGATATGGATCGAATGCACTGGTGGGTCCCACAGCATGCAGTTTGAGTGAGCCGGTGCTGATGCACGCAGCAAGCAGACTACTGCCCTGTCTTGTGGGTTTCCTCCGTACTTTTGAGATGAGTTACTTTTTGCAGGGAAGGGAGTTCATGCCAAACATCAGATTTGCTTTTGGGTTGGAAAGGAATCCCTGTTGCAACAGGAAGCTGTGACACAAATGCATTTATTTTATTATTTATTCAGTGCATTTACATGATACTCACTTCTTACTTTCCATCCCCACAGGCACAGTACTGCACATTTGTGTATCGTGCACTTGGTATTGTGGGAAGCAGCTTAACATTTTTCTTTACTGAGTTTCAGTCAGATAACTGGCTAACTGCTTTGCATGGTGGAGCAAAGAAAACAATTAAGAAACCTTTTCTCTAATTTGAACTTTCTCTTGTTGCTGACCACTGGAGTTTAATTTTGGGTTTTTCCCCTCAGAAACAAGGAAGAAGAAAGTGCCGTTAGAGCTATTTACTGTAAGAAGATAGATGATTTGCTCCAGCAGTCAGATTTTGTGTTGCTGTCTGTGAACCTGACTCCACAGACGCATAAACTGATTGGGAAGAGGGAGCTGGAGCTGATGAAACCCACAGCTACTCTCATTAATATCAGCAGAGGTAGGGTGCAGAATAAACAAAACTGCATTATGGTTTGCTGGCATAAATAGTCCTGGGAAAACCAAACCCTAATATAGAGTCTGTCACTCTGAAATTTTCAGTAAATTCTCTGATTACCGGATTATTTAGATGTCCGTGGTCATACCTCAGCAAAACATTTAAGCATTTCCATAATTATGAGCAAGCAGGCCTCTAAAGCATTAGTGACCTTGGAGTGTTAGAAGGCCATGTATATCTGTATAATCTCTTACGCTGTTTGTTTAGTGCAGTGTTGTTGCTAACATACATCAGGGTGGCACAGCCCACTCTGAAGTCCGGCACTGTACTTTGTTTTATGGTGCTACGCACTGCCCTTTAAAATTCCTGACTGTCCAACTCTGATGCACGCGCCCAAGCTTCCTCCTCCCGCTTCATCGCCTGCTCTGCTGCAGCTCTGGCTTTGTGAACGTCACTAAGCCCTGCCGTTCTCTTGGCCCCCATGCCCAAAAGGATGGCGAGAGAACAGCACAGAATGTGAACATAAGAGTATCCTTCTTACTGTAACCCAGGTCTGGTTGTGGATCAGGATGCTTTGGTGGAAGCCCTTCAAAACAAAGTTATTAAGGCAGCTGCTCTGGATGTGACATATCCTGAACCGTTGCCAAGGTAGGACATGTACTTAAGGTAAATATAAATGAGTATATGTCTGTGGTTCAAGCTAAGTACAAGTTTGTGAGAAGTTACATAATTTCGTTAGTAGGAGTACCTGGTGTATGTGCACTAGTGCCTACTGAAATGACGTCCCTGATCCTTCTGTCCTAGCCAAACAAAACTCACACTGACTCATTTGGAGGATTTGTCGCATAAAAACCCTGAAAGCTAGGCAGCAGCCTGAACTCCTCTGAGTATGCTTGGGTCGTCCAATTAGTTTTTATTTTTAATTATTATTTTAAATATTTCCCTGGCTCCCTTCAGGTAATGAAATAACAGATGAATGCTCTGTGAGTGACGAGCTCAGTATTTCTTTTCCTTTCCCAGGGATCACACTTTGTTAAAGCTGAAGAACGTTATAATAACTCCTCACATTGGAAGTGCCACCACAAAGACACGCCGCCTTATGATGGAAAACATGACGGAAAGCATACAAGCGGGTCTTACAGGTCTCCCTATCCCTAATGAAGTATTCTGTGAAGCAGCCTGCACTTAATGTTAATGCCATTAGTGTTTATCCTGGTGTGAGGAAACAGTAATTTGATCACCCTTCATGTAACTATCCCAGGTGTGATAAGACACATAATGCATAGGTTTAATTTATTTAAATAACCCGAAAGTGATTCTGGATGGAAAACTGCAGTATTTTGTCACAAATGCCAATGAAAATCTCAAGAGTGATAGTCTTTGTGAGAAACTATGGACTAGGGTATTGTTTATTAAGATCTATGTTAAGCTCAATTATTAAGATCTATGTTAAGCCCAATTATTAAGATTTGCTCAATGTAGAGGTTAAGATTTGCTCAATGTAGAGGTTAGGCTTTGCTCAATGTAGAGGTTAGGCAACAGAGGATATGAAACTGCTTACACTAACTGAACCAGATACCGTTTGTGCAAAGACAACCGCCAGATGTTCAAGAACCGACAAGAACAGGACAGACAACCCCATATAAGGACATATGAGTGAGGGGTCAGTCAACTATGGGACAAAGGAGGAAGACTTCTTACTTCGGCCTCAACGACCACCAGGAGGCAGAAAACGACCCCCTAACAACAACTGGGGCATGCGCAGAGTACCTCCAGTACTTCATTGAACAGGGAAGTAAAGGTGTATAAAAATAGACTGATTGAACTGCTCAGTACGGCAGTTGGCGGAGCGCAGACTCCCCTGCCGTCCAGCGCTGTATTTGCTCATATTCTACTTGCTATAATTAATAAAATTTTAATTGGATTATGATCCGTTGTGGTCGCAATTTATAACATCTTGCATTGGTTTCATTTATTTTGCTCACATCCTTTTAAAATTGCCCATCACTGTAACACCGAATTGAAGGGGAGGTTTAGGTTGGACATTAGAAAAAATTTTTCCACAGAAAGGGCTGTCCAGCACTGGAAGGGGCTGCCCAGGGAAGTGGTCGAGTCCCCATCCCTGGAGGTACTTAAAAGATGTGCAGATATGGTGCTTAGGGACATGGTTTAGTGGTGAACTTGGCAGTGTTGGGTTTACGGTTAGACTTGATGATCTTAAAGGTCTTTTCCAACCTAAATGATTCTATGACATTTAAGTCATATTGTAGCGCCACCGGTGAATTACACGGCGTAGCAGACTGCGGTTGGTGTGTCGGACTGGCTGTTCCTGATGCTCCGTCAGCAGTGCTTATTTTCGGGGAACAGTTTGCAAGGCCTTTGTGGGGCCATCCCTTTAATGGGAACGCAGCAGCCGGGTTTATCTTCGCTTCCCAGATAACTTCTGTCCCCACGTAACAGAGCCCGTGCAGCGCTAGGCACGCACGGGCCTTGGCCCTCTGCTTGTACGAGTTTTGCCCCAGCTCGGGCCCCGAGGCTCGCCTGTGCCCGGGGGCAGCTCGGGCTCCTCCTCCC